TATAGTATAAATTTAGTTTTATACTTATTAATTTTTCTTGTTAAAATCTTTTAAACATGAGTACCTATTTGTTACTTGCGAATAACTTTGAATTAACAATATATAATATTTTTAATATAAAAAGAAAAATGATTACGGTAAAGTGTCCGAAAAGTGTCGATATCGACTCATGTCTGACACGTGTTGGACATAGACACACTATTCTAATTGAAGTGTCAGTGCTACAGAGGTTAGTGTAGAATTAGATAGTTAATCCTGTCTGTGTTGCTTCCCTGTTTGGTTCACATCAGTGCATAAAGTGGGAAAATGAACTATCATGTGAAGCAAGAGTGAGAATGAAACCACAGTGACTTCACAAATAGAATTAGACCTCACCGTCCCTTGATTGGTTACATACAGCCTAAACATTTTTTTTGTGTTTCAAATTTACAGTTAAGTTGAAAGTTAATGGATAGCGCAAAGTAAGTTCACACACTGGGCTCTATGTTGGGTCTGCATCAAGGACCTTTATTGACAAAACAAAGCGCAGTTGTTATATTATCAAGGTGATAGTAAATTTATGGTAACTCAGAGGGACTTCTTGATAACATAGAGCCAAGTAAATATATTTGTTACCACAGTATATCGGCATTTTGGTCCTGCCAATGATGGAAATATTTGGGAAAGCATTTCCATAGAGCATGGAAAAATTCGAATCTTTAGTTGTACCTGTGGATATCGAAATGAAATAATCAGTTTTGACAAAAATGTTCTGTAACAGATCTTGTACTACACATCCACGGGATGCAAATGGCATCCCACAATAAGAAATGTTTTATTTGACTTCTACTTAGTCCAGAAACTGCACATAAAATGAAATTTTGGCTGCAGTCAAGTGCCTTTTTTTGAATTTTTTACTTATTGGCAATGACTTTTGCTGATTTTATTTTTATGTGAAATTTTTTTGTATTCAGATTTCAATGGTACTTCATTTGTCACAACAGAATATCTCTGTTAAAGTTTCATAATCTGGTTTATAGATTTTTGTGTCTTTTAATCTTGATGTCCTTTTGTTTTCTTATATTGAAAAAAACAAGTTTTCAACATAATAGGGTCCTTGGATTATTCAATTTGGCAACATGCTTAAAATGTTACTCTATAATTGACATTTGAAGTTTGTTACATACTCAGATGATGATGTTTTCATTTGATTGTGTTTGCTATCAAGGAAATCATATACCCATCCTAAAAGCCAATTCTTATTATTTTACTCTGTTATCAGTAAGTTGTCTTCACATATTCCTAAAAGTTGGTTAATTCATAAATTCTGGTAGTTGCACAATGTTTATTAGTGTTTTATTATAGTAGACATTGAAGGCTCTATAAACTCGTGAACGGGAAATGAATTGTGATAGCTAGAATTCCTTACAGTGATT